TGTCGGTTTTCAACTGTCGGAATTACAGAAGATTGAGCAGAATCTGAGAGGTGGTGTGTAAATAACTAAATGACAACTGCAAGCATGCAAAATCTTACGTAACTGTTGAACCGATTCTCCCTCCTCTCAAAGTTAAAGTCATTCGATAACAAAAACAGACATGGCAAGGATTTCTAGATAATACATAAAGCCAGCAAGAACGAATTGCCAAATGTAGGATGGCATCGGAGTTTTTTACCTACGTTAATGAAAAATCATGCAATCCCATTGGCGGTATCTTAGCAACAATACTTTTGGGTGAGAAACTCTAAACTAGCAAAGGAACTGTGAAAACCAGTTCAGGGTTAGTATATCAGCCTCTCGGCAAGCGTGCTTCTCTTCGATGAAATGTACAACTATTCATTTATGTGCGTCCACATTAACAATGTACATGAAGCCTTAAGTGCGTTACAGTGGCATGCGTTTACTGTCAATATACAAACTTAACTTGCTGATGCGGCGTGCTGAAAAATAAAAAGGCTTTGAATTACCTGAATAAGCTTTCGTTTATTAAGCAAGCATACGCTTTCTTATTTAATTCGGCAACGATCGGGTGAAGGACCCCAAACACACACACGACCAGCCAAAGGTACCTGTCTTACGGGAAAAGGGGTGATAGGGGTTTTACGGGCGGGGCCTATGTATGCACAGAGGAATGCCAAAATAAGGGTAGATAATTGGTAAGGTCGTTTTTCGGACGGAAATGTTTTAGTGCAGTGACGCATGGCAACAGAAATCAAGTAAGTCAGTTTAAAAAATAAACATTATGTGCCTACAACGATCGCTTCTCAACTCTCTGAGCTGAGGTCATTGTAGATAATGCATCAAGCCGTCTAAAACAGACGATCCAACCTTGTAAGATGAAACAACAGACCGAAATAGTCTTGTCGGACTAAAGCCCACTTACATAAGCATAGCAGGTATTCTTTGTACGCCAAAAATGCTTGCGGGCCTTCACCTGATCCCTACCTTCAATTCCACTCATTAAATTTAAGTTTAACTGCATTCTGTACAGTTTTTGAAAACACTCGGGATGCATCAGCACTACCAGATGATAGTTTTGACCTTCAGTATTTTGTCTTGCAAGTCCTATCTATAATAATTTCATGCTTATCATTGTCTTCAAGTCGATTTTGAATTGGTCCAGGGTGGAATTTTTCCCACCGCACGTGCCCAACTCCCAGGGCATCCTCCTTAGTTCTCTGGTCTTTAAAAAACCCGGTGCGTTTAGGTTAGCTCCTTTTGAAGGTCAAATAATTCTTGGTAAATTTCAGCTTCTAAATCCCCTCTGAAATTAATGCGGCAGATTGGGGTAAATCATTTAGAATAAGGCCTTTTAGGCTCAGTCCAAAAGTTTATATGGCGATACCGAACCCCTCGCGGCTGTGTCAGGCGGCGGCGGAATATCGGCGAAATAAGTGTCCAAGTTTTAACCTAGTACTTGTGTCATCATCTGCATTAATCATACGACGCGCATATACTAATGACTGTCTGCTGACAACCTGTAAAGGGTACACGGTTATCCTGCCGAATCTGTTGGGTTTTGGCCTACATATTCATATAATTTTGGGACTGGAAGTAAAAAAAACCTTATTTTTGATGAGTTACTCCAAGCTATTAAATAAATTTCAAAGATTTAACAACTAAAATTGTGAAAAGGGAGTACCTTCCAGGAAGTACATGGGGAACGCTAGGGGACCCACTGATGTGCTTACTTCCTCAAAGACGTCATGTATTTATATGAAATAGGCGAAACACTTGTCTCGGCTTTTAACTAGTAACCGTGATTTCTGTATGATGAGTCATGCAACGGATGCTTGGAAAAACTAGTTTCTGGAAATTTTTCTGAAAGGCAAAGCATCCTCTTTTAGAACTTACTCGATATCTACCCATAACTCTATAGGCGCTGCTGGCGCATTTATAACACTGGTTAGCATAGGACCAGTTTTATTTTATCAATTGACCTATGCAGTCCCTGATGTTAAGTGGCAAGGACGAAGTATATGGCCGAGATCAGAAAAAGGTCGGGCGTGTCTTATGGGAATCGTAATAACAGAGGTTGCACGGGTTGGACCGCAAAGAAGAGCATTAATGTCGCCGTAAAAGAAAACTACGCGAAGAGGACCCCATGTTCGGCAGAGCAGTATGCGCCTACGTGGACAAAGTACTGTACCGCCTTTGATTTTGGCTAAAAATTGCGGACCTAAAGGTGACATTGGATACCTTTATAGCACGCATTTCAAACGTATATCATGTGCAACGACAGCACTTTGGATACAGTGAGTGACCGATCTCACGAAATGTTGGCTGAACTTCTGAAATGCGTTTTCGATTAGGAAGAATTACTTAGGCATGGTTGTAATACTGATTATCTTGTGGCATAATCTTACAACATTGCGGACTCGGCAGGATGTCAGCGCTCGAATACACTGCTTTTCAGTCTCCTGCGGAAAACGTACTCGGTAAAAAAACGACTACTTAAGTTGCATGCATTTTCCCCATTGATTTCCGATGGCCTTACAAATTCAAATATATCTTATAGAAACCATAAAAAAATATGCTTTCTTTCAATCGTTTGGTAGAGGGTCGCGTTTTCTTTATATTTTTATACTCCAGGAAGGAGTATAATTAGGTTTTAAAAAAGTTTCTAATTATGAGATTTTTTAAGACCGCGCAATGTACATTCACATAGCATCGTACCTGGACGTTTACCACGGCTCCTTATGAAATTTACAACGCAGTCCGCATTCGTTGCAAACTGTAATGGACTCTGTATGCTATCTTTTTAATGGCACAGAAAAATATATGGTTTTCGTTACGTGGAATGCATGCACCTTTTAGACTGAAGTCACTAAGCGCTAATGCAACGAGTAATTAGGTTTCGAATTATTTGGGAATTAGAAGACTTTTTAAAAACCTTATTATACTCCTTCCTTGAGTATAAAATATAAAGAAGACGTAATTCTTTAGAAATTGACTGAAGGAAAGCATATTTTTGTTTATGGATTCTGTAAGATATATTTGAATTTGCAAGACCATCGAAATTCAATGGGGAAAACGGATGCTACTTAAGAAGTCATTTTTTAACGAGTGTGGTTTCTACGGCAAATTGAAAAGCAGTGTATTTAAAAGCTGACATCCTGCCAAGGCCGAAATGTTATAAGATTATTCCGCAAGATAATAAACATTACAGCCGGGACCAAGTAATCTTTCCTAATCGAAAACGCATTTTAGAATTTCAGCCAACATTTCATGAGATCGATCACTCACTTTAAATCCCCGGAACTAAGTCCCCCAGGTGACTGTTTTACATAGAGTAATTCAAACTGCGTTGTCTGTAGTGTGTTATGGGCAGCGTACTGCACTGTAAGTCGCACAGGAAAGGAGTGGATCCTGTTGTATGTTCTAAGTTGGGTACACGGATTTGACGGCGATGTGGTGGGAACTTGCATAGGAAGACGCCTCTTGCATCTCCCCAAATGCGGACAAATCTTTTGCCCTTTACTAAGGGATTAGGTTTAGGAGGTGGAGAACATGGATTCTATGTGGACATTTTTGCAGCATTGAGTACTCAGGACACTTTAGGTTAAAGATTGTCATCCAGCCTGGGTTAGGGACGTGGAAGTATGTGACTGGATTCTGACCAAAAGCTCCGCCGAACAGCGTTAACTTAGATAAATATAATAGGCAGTCCTCGATGGCAAACCTACCCAGATTATATGCTTTATCATTACCTGTTAGGTCTCTTGACTCCTTTGTACTTTTCATTACTGAATGTCAAAAATAAGCCATATTTACATTTTCAGACTATCTTAAGAGGCGTTAAATGTGAAGTGAGCACTGAAGAGTTGGATTACGTGGGTTATGCTTGTAACCTCATGTTGGATGGCTGCAGAACTTTTGTCCAATTTATTTTCCTCAAGTAACGCAAACATCGGCTGAGGCCTGTTGTTACCCACAAGTGATACAAATTATAAAACAACACACTCGGCCGACAACAAGAGCGTTCAACCGGGATTTCATGTCTGTCAAATAGGCAAATTTCCGTTGAAGCATTCCAGTGAATCACATGAGGCAAGGTTCATCCAACCGAATTATTTGTAGACATTGGG